CACCAGTGGGCCGATTGGCAGTATTGGGATGGATGGTGAAGAGATTGAGATTGTTCATGGTTTTGGTTTGCTTGGCTCTACAATCAACACGCTTGGCACCAGCAGCCAGGAAATTAAAAGACATATTGTGATGGGAAAGTCTCTGGTTTGAGACCTCTCTAAAGTGCTGAAGTACAACAATGTCAGCCTGGAGACTAAGGTGAGCCTGACATATGCCATGGTCTTTGCAATCACTTGATATGCATCAGAGAGATGGACAATGACTAGGGAGGATAGAAGAAGAATTGATGCCTTTGAGCCTTGCTGTTGGAGAAGAGTACTGAATGTACCATGGACTGCCAGGAATTTTTTGTTATTGCTTCTAATTTTCCATTTATTCTCCCTATTTAATCATGCATAACAACAACATAGAGAGCACTCAGTTGGCCTGGTAGGCACAAAGTGATGCTACCAAGTCAAAGGTGGGTGATTTTAATCTGTGTTCCTCAGGTCTGGTTTTAATTGTTTTTGGTCAAGCATTCTTATAAGTGGTATAGCAGTGGTCTGTCCACTTGCTGTACAGAGGTAACTCGTGGTTGCTGTGATGCTGGACACTGTGACACTAATGTGTCAAATGCGATAATGGTTACCTATGGTGGACAGTGTTTGGTGGAGCTCCCTGATTAAAACAAGCTTGGAAGCAGGAGTGGCATCCAGTTCTGAAATGGCTTGCCTTTGGAAACTCTATGAATGTGGAGAAATGACGAAAGTTATACAGGTGTTCAGGTCTTTTGTTCATAGGGTCACTATGAGTCGTCTATGATTTGATGGCACTTAACAACAACACAACAATTCTGAATTTGACTTTGATTTTTGTTATTGCTTCTAATTTTCCATTTATTCTGTATTTAATCATGCATAATTGTGTGATTTTTTAAAAATTTTATTCTGTGTTTTCTGTGTTGTTATTTTAGAAGAGACTCAAGTAACATTCTTTTTTAATTCCTTGACAGAAACTTCCAATAACCTTTCTGCCTCAGAAAGATCTTCATTTTCTATATTTTGGTTACTTCATTTGTTCCATCTTATCTTGCTTTTTTTCTGGTTTGGGGTTATCTTTTGGCTCCTAGACTTGTGGTTAGAGACAGGATGTCTGGGCTTCAATTGTCTGTGGGTGAGACTCCCAGTTTGTGGCAGAGAAGGGCCCTGAGCGGTTGGTTTGGCTAGATGTCGTACCAGGCAGGGAGTGTTGGCGCATTTCCAGTGATATGTAGTGGGTGTGAGTAATCACTGCCAACCTCAAATTTTCAAGGCACCTCTGCTAACCTGGGGGCTGTCTGCAGGCCAGGCGTGGCCCAGCCCAAGTCCCAGAGGGAGTCTGCCCATTTAGAGCCATGGAAGCTTCCAGCACCATATACAGCATGGTGTGGGCCTGGGATCAGTTGGAGCCAAGGAAGGTTAGGGAACACTGCCATCCACCTGGTGGGTGGTGGGGTTGAAAGTTACTACCCCCAGCTCAGAAAAAGCCCTGAAAACAAGGGGGACATATGGCTCTTTCCTATCAGCAAGCTGTCAGCATGGGCACCACCCCTTCCCCAGGTCCCCACAGCAAATAAACCAGCATTGCCACGCTGTTTAGGATGTCCAGCTGTCTTCTCGGTCTGTATTCTTCTTCCCTTAGGATCCCTGCTTTCCAGGCTTCTATTTCTTTCCAGATGTCTTTGCTGTCGAGGGATTGACCTGCTGCTTGTCTGCTCCACTGTCTTGCCTGGATGTGGCAAGACTTGTAGCAGGGCCGTGTCCTCTAGATGCCCCTTCCCCAGGCGCCCAGCACCGGGTCTCCCCTGATGGTGAGGACTAGCCACTTCTGTCCTCTGGCCAGCTGGATCTGCACCATTCCCAGCCCTGGCACGCATCTAGAATGTGACTCACAGAGGACCAGAGGCCTCATGAGGCCTTCAGCTAAGCATTCTCTGCCCTGATACATATAACTAAATATTAAAGCAAGTAACAGTAATAATATATTAACATCAAGGACTGTGCGTCTGCTTGCTGACTTATCAGAACAAGAAAGTATGGTTTCTTGGGAAAAGATTGGTGACTTGAATTTCTGTAAAATTGAATGCTGTGTGTCAGGAAAAGGGAAGCAGTTGTCTTTGGACTTCTCAAGGAGTGGGGAGCTTTGCTCCAGCTGCACCCTAACAGGTGTTACTCCGTACATTCAGTGAGGAAAGCTCTCTGAGAGCGGAGGGACTGAGATGGCACCCACCTGTACCTTCCTGCAGCTCATCCCCTGCCCTGCAGGATCATGAGGCCCCTCCACAACTGCCAGTGAGAGTAGACAGGTGGTGGCAGGGAAGTCCCTCCCCACTCCCAAACTCAGCCAGACTGTTCTCCCCCACCCCCCACCCCAGAATCCAGCGGCCCAGGGAAGAGGAGAAGAAGAGGGCCTCTCCAGATCAGTGAAATGGTAGTAGGCGGCTGGGCATGCAGTAGGAATGTCCTGAATGTTCCCAGGGGAGCCCTGGGCTAGGGGGTGGAGCCCTGGGCTCAGGAGTTGGGGCCCTAGGTTCAGAGGGTGGAGCTCTAAGCTCAGGAGATGGCGCTCTGGAGGTGGCTCCCTGGACTAGGAGGTGGCACAAGGCTCCTTGGGGATGGAGGTACCAGAGAAGTCTTAAGGGAGAAATCAGGATTCTGCTGTCCCCTCCAGCACGGAGATCCAGATAACTCCTGGCCTTCTCTAGGTTTTCGTTTCCTCACCTGCAATTTGGACCCATCACTGTCTGGTTCAAATCATCTGTAGCGCTGTGAATGGAGGTTTCCAGTCCTGGGAGGGAGGTGGTGGCTGTCACTGGTCACTGTTTTCTCTGCTCTCTCCTCAGGCTCAGGGCAGGGTCCTGCTGCTGACCGCCTGTGCCGCTGGCATTGGAGGGACATTTCAATTTGGCTACAACCTGTCCATCATCAATGCACCTACCGTGGTATGTGTACCCCTGTGCCCGCTGCTACTGAGTGGAGGGGGGACCAGGGACTGCCTGCCTGCTGCAGCCCACCAGCCCAGTGCCCACTGGGGGACCTTTTCTCCTACAAATCTACCTTCACCTGGCAGGGAGGACCCCATCTCCCACCTAGGCATCTGGCAGTTTCTGAGTGAGCTCTGCACCCTTCCTGAACCCCTTAGTGCCTGATTTCAACACTGACTTTGCTACTCACACAAGGATGCACCCTGGAGCCTGAGGGGCAACCTGGCTTCTTCCCTCCCTCCTGAGGAAACCATTCGCTTCCTAACGGCTTGGCTCTGTATGATCTTCACTGTGATGTTGTTCAGGCATCCCAGTTCCCTGTTGTTCACTGGGTCTCCACTTACAACTCTGCCGCCCAAGCAGGTTAAGGGCAGGTTCACAAATAGCCAGTGATGGTCTCAGGGTTCCTTTGAGCCTCCTCCCTTGGGAAGTCCCCTCTGCCTCATCTACAGAAAACCTCCGTGAACCACTCCCAAACACCTCAGCTGCTGGGAAACCTTGCTTCAGCACCTCAGCTGCGAAAGATGCAAACTCACTATGAAGTCCAGAAGCAAGTGTGTAACAGAAGCCGAGTGTATTAGCAACTATGCTTGATTTTAAAATGTGTGCTGCAGTGAAAGCAGGTTGAGGCCCCATGCAGCATCAGCTGCAGACAGAGAAGATTAGGGCATTTGTCCATGCACCATTGACTAGAGGGGAGTAGTCACAGCAATTCCAAGGGGGCCTTTTCCATTTTTACACTGTGCCTTATTTTAGGTATCTGCTACCTCCTGGGGTGGATCATAAAATGTGTATAAGGGTTAACATCAATCAGGTTATTTGTGATTTCCCAGAACACACATTTATTCCTCTAGGGTCAGAAGATCAGCAAAATGGAATCACTTTGGTTTCAACCAACCTTATAAACAAACTAGGGTGTCTCCAGCCTCAGTGCCACTGCCATCACCACAGCCATGAGTAGGTTGGTTTACTCCTGTACTTCAGTCCTGCTGAGATCTCCAGACACCTGAGTCACCATCTGGGTCCCTCATCACTGGCTTAGAAGGGGTTAGGGTTGCCCATGGCATGTAGGGGCAGAACTCTAGGTACCAGACCTTGGGATAAGACTGTGACTCTCCCCACTGCCTCACCCCGTGCTCCACTCTGTGGACAAGCTAGCTGCTGTCACCAAGTTGCTGTCAAATGGGTTCCCCCTCCCCACCGCCTTCCTGCCCCAAGAATCGGCTAATTGGAATGATTCCTTTATTATGCACAGATAGAAGGAACATCTTAAAAGCAAAGTAGCCCCTAAAAACAAAGTTTATGCTCTGTTTCATTTACACTTCCATGCCATTACCAACCTGGACCAAAAGGCTTCATCTGATTCTGTTTCCCCTTTTTGTAACACCTATTGTACATTTCCCCTTTTCTGTGCTATGTGGACACCCTGAATATTCTGGTCTCTGATAAAAATGAAGACATGAGGTTTCTACCCATATAGAAAGTTCTCTCTTACCTAGGAATAAAGGAGCTTTGCTAGCAAGGTGCAGGAATGCCGAGTGGGCAGCACAGAGGTTTCTGTGAATTGGATGTTTAAATTGGTCATAGAATTTCAGAATCAGCTCAATATTCAGCAGCTGTGTGGCTGCTTTACACGAAAACAGTGGGAAAGGGCGCAGGAAAACCTGGAAGCCCCTCAGAAAACCAGGCTGCAGGAGAAGTGCTGTATGGGGGCAGTGCAGTGCCCCCTCACACTGGCTTTCATCATCTGGTCCAGCTGGTGAGGGGCAGGGCTGCTCAGAGAGCAGTGTGGGTGGGGCAGTCCATGGATCCCCCTTCAGGACACTGACCATTGTCTCTATCCACAGTACATTCAGCAGTTCACCAATGCCACCTGGAGGGCAAGGACTGGCCAGCCACTGCCTGACCACCTGGTCCTGCTCATGTGGTCCCTCATCGTGTCTCTGTACTCCCTGGGAGGCCTCTTGGGAGCACTGCTGGCAGGGCCCCTAGCCATCATGCTGGGGAGGTGAGTACTCCCTGTGGACCCCCACTGGCCCTCATCGGGGTGCAACATCCCATTCTGCAGACTGAGGAAGTGAGAGAAAGCCCACCTCCATGCCCTGCTCAGCTCTCACTCTGCCCAGAGCATCTTCATCAAGGAGTCATGTTTGCAGGGCACTGGAGACCACCTCCCTGCCCTGGAGGACTCCCGGGTTCCACTTCAAGTCTGCTCACAGTGACCTTGAAAAGCCAACCAGTCTATGGCTGTGGGGTCATTTTTGCCTCGGGGAGACATATGTGTGGAGCAAAACTGCGCTTCAGGGCCTCTAGCGGCTCACATCTCTTCACAGATGGCAGCCTGCCCTCCAGAGTGTCTGATGGAGGATTACACCTGGGAACTTTGTTTCGTAGTTGAGTGTTTACCAGTTTGGATTCCCAAGGGTCCCTTTATTTGACTTTAAACAGGTATTTTTCCCCCTCAGATCCCACGTTTCTTCCCTGTATCTAACTATAAAATATTACAATAAATAGAAAGACTTTAGAGAAGGCCTTCAGAAAGACAAGACTGAAAGACAGCTGAAGAGATTTCAGTAGCAAGAGTTAATTGGGACTTTCAGGGAGTGAATCAGGGAGCTCTCCTGGCCTAGTGGTAAGGAATTGCACTGCCAGCTCACAGGTAGGCAGTTTGGATCTACCAGATGCTCCAGAGGAGAAAGATGGCCAGTCTCCTCTCTTGTGATTTTCATCCTCTAAAAACCTGCTATGGGTCCTGACTCAGCAGCACACAACAACAACAGGAGTAAACTGGGAGCTCTAGTTCCTTAGTAGTAAGGAAGTATGCTGCCAGCCCAAAGATACATGATTTGAATCCACCAGCCTGCCCCATGAGAGAAAAATGGGCAGTCTCCTTTTGTGCGATTTACTGACTGAAAACCCGCTGGAGGATCCTTTGTGAGTTACTTCCAACTCAGTGATACTCAACAACAGCTGGAATAAATAAATGGCTTCAGTATGTGCAGCTGCAATCCCATTCTCCCCTCAGCTCTCTGTATTCCATATTCGGAATCCAGAAAGGAAGCTTATGTTGGTCCAGGTGGGTCACATGACTCACCTGAGAAAGAAGGGGGGGTAAAGGAACAGTACGTAGAAAAGCAAGGAGTTAGAGTCAGGGGAGCCAAATGTAGTTGTCTCAAAAGATAACCCAGGCACAAGGGATTTCATTGCTCATGAAAGATGGATCTTGGTTGAAAGCAGAAGATGCCAGAAAGATGATTACTTGTGCTTTATTTTCTATGCAGAGGAATACAGCTGTGTGAATTATAAAAATTATGGGTAACCCAGAGAAGAAAAGGAATCCTACTTAATTGTGTTCATGAGAGACCTATGTGTAGACCAAGAAGCCGTTGTCTGAACAAAAGAGAACACTGAGGTTTAAAATGAAGGAAGATGTGTGTCAGGGTTACATCCTTTCTCCACACCTATTCAATCTGTATGCTAAGCAAATCATTGAAGAAAGTGGACTGTATGAGGAAGAGAGTAGCATTAGGATTGGAGGAAGACTTACGGCAGCTTGCATTATGTAGATGACACAACCTTGTTTGCAGAAGGTGAAAAAGACTTACACTGACTGCAGAAGATCTACAGTCTTCGTTATTAATTACATCTCAACATCAAGAAAGCGGAATTCCTTTTCTAGTAGGTCCAGGACCTCTCTAAAGTGCTAAAACACAAAATATCAAATTAAAGACTAAGGTACACCTGATCTGTGTTTTTTTTTCTGTTGCTTCCAATTTACCTGAAAGTTGGACATTGAGTAGAGAAGAACTGACGCTTTTAAATTGTGTTGAAGAAGAGTACTGATTTTCCCATGCATTTTCAAAAACGAACAAGTCAGTCTTGAAGGAAGGTCAACTGACATGCTGCTTAGAGGGAAGGATGGTGAAACTTTATCTCACATGCTTTGGGCATGAAATCAGAAGAGGCCAAAGTCAATGGCTAGGAAAGTCATGCTGGGCAATAAACCCTCTACTTGGCAATGACCTTGAGCATGGTGGAGATTGTGAGAATGGTGCAGGAATGGGGAAGTCTTCACTCTGTTGTTCATAGGGTTACTATGATTCATTACATGTGAGTCAGTATTGACTAGATGGCACCTGGCAAGAACGATCTTCACAGGAGCAGCCTACCACATCTTTCTCTCATGGGATAATTGATGTATTCGAACCCTGAGTCTTTCTGTTGGTAGCCAAGCCCTTTAACCTCTGTGCTATCAGGGCTCCTATATGTTGCTTTGACACCTCCGAACAATTCAAGAGGTCTCCTTTTCTCCATCCCCACGTAGGTCTCAGTAGTGCTAGATTACCTTGCAAAGATGAGTTCTTGGGACTAAGCCCAGAGCTGACTTGTCCCGTGTGCCTCCTCCCCAAGGAAAAAGTCCCTCCTGGTTAATAACGTCTTCGTGGTGGCTGCAGTGTTCCTGTTTGGCTTCAGCCGCAAAGCCGGTTCCTTTGAGATGATTATGCTGGGCAGGCTGCTGGTTGGAGTAAGCGCAGGTAGGCAAGAGTCGCAGCCAAGCCCCTCCCAAGTCCCTCCATCTCCTGATTATGCATGCTTCTCTCTTTTTATCCCTTCCTTTTTTTAAATTAAGATTTTAATGAAAGTTTCTAGAGAGCTTCGGTTTCTATTCATTCATAGTTGCATTTTCTTCCTTGCTCCCCCTCACCCCCAGTTCACTTTTTCTTTGGAAAAAAAATTATTTCATTGTTATACAGCCCTCCCCCCACCCAGTCCACTTTACTATGCAGCTCTTATTCTGGACTCTTGTCATGCCAATAATACCTAATCATATATTCCTTTTATACAGTTCTCTCCCTCCACTGTTTCAATGCTTTATACATTATTTATCCCCTCTTTTCTTAGTTTCCCCCAACCCCCATGTCATCCTGTTTTTTAACAGTGGCATTATACAGTATTTGTCTTTTTGTGACTGAGATATTTCACTCCAGGGACACCCATTTTGTATATTTCGTGAGTTCTTTGTTTTTCAGTGCTGCATAATATTCCATTGTGTGAATATACCACAGCTTCTCTATCCATTCATTTGTTGATGGACACTTGGGTTGTTTCCAATTCTTTCCTATTGTGGACAAAGCAGAAATAAACATGGGTGTCTAGTGCTTCTCTTTTTTTAAAAAGAGAAATTTATAAAGACAGGGTAATGATGGGCAAGGTCCAGTGGCAATTGAGTTTATAAAACATAATGTATGAGAATGATTGTATGAACCACAATGTGAATGAAGAATAGTGTGAAACACAATGTATATAAACTTTTTGTAAGCAAACCAATTTTTTTTAAAAAACAACATAAAATAGAATATATAAATGATTGTATGAAACACAGTATAAATAAAAGATTGTGCCCATCAACAAACAAATGGATAGAGAATCTCTGGTATATTCACACAATGGAATACTATACAGCACTGAAAAACAAAGAACTCACGAAATATTATGCAAAATGGGTGACCCTGGAGGACATTATGCTAAGTGGAATATCTCAGTCATAAAAGGACAAATATTGCATAAGGCCACTGTTGTGAAATGGGACTGACATCGGGATTGAGGGAAGACAGAGAAGGAGGAATGATGTGTACTGCATTGAAACAGATGAGGGAGAGAACTTTTTAAAAAGGATATATGATTGGGTATTATTTTCATGACAGGAGTCCAGAATGAAGGCTGCACAGTGGAGTGGACTTGGGGGAAGGAATTGCATAATAATGAAAGCGTTTTTCTTTTACTTTTCAAAGAGAAGAATAAACTGGGGGTGAGGGGGTGGACAGGGAGAAAAATGCAACAGTAAATGAATGGAAACCCTAAGTCTATAAACTTTAATTAAAATTAATTTTAAAATGTATAAAAATTTGAAAGAAAAAATACTGTATAAAACACAACTATATAAATGAAACATAATGTAAAGGGATTATTACATAAAAACCAACCAAAAAAAATTTTTTTTTAAAAAAAGAGAAAGTTTGGCTTTCTAAAGGTTCCAAAAGAATCATGAGAAGGCATAAATAAAAATTGATACTCAAAGTTGAAAAAATTATATTGGTTTTCTTACAAAGTTTGTATACATTGTGTTTCATACAATTGTTCCCATCCATTATGTTTTATAAAATTAATCACCATTAGACTTTGCCTACCATTATCCTATCTTTTCAGGTCCCTATTAGGTATTTCCCATTTCCTTATGCCCTCCCTCCACCCACCTCTGTTTTTCTGATGATTAACTGCTAAGCGGGTTCCTTTGAGACTATGCTGGACAGGTTTATAAACTTTCAAAGGTTTATAAAATTACTGCTTATTGCCATCAAGTTGATTCTGACTCATGGGGCCCTCCCTCAGGTCTCCAAAGCTGCAGATCTTTATAGCAGCAGATTGTGCATCTTTCTCCTGCTGGACTCAAACTCCCAGCCTTTTGGTTAGCTGCCCAGTATATCACACATTCTGCCTCCACGGTTCCTTCATGGAAATTGTTGTGTGTACTGTCAAGTTGGAACCCATGTATAGCTGACCCTGCGGTGGGTTTTTAGATTCTGTGGATTGCTTGGGAGTTGATTGCCCATCTTCTTCCCGTGGAGTGATGACAGATTTGAACCACATGCCTTTGGCTTGACAGCATAATTCTTTACCACTAGGCCACCAGATTTCCCTGTAAATTTAATTGACACCTGAAAACTTGATATTACAAACGACAGCATTGTGCGGGAGTAGAGGGACAGACCTCTCTAGACTTTTACCAACAGAGGCTTTGTATTTGAGCATCATGAAGCCCTGGGCTTCCTGATGACTGAGGTGTAGATATTGACAATGTTGTTGTTATTGTGTGCTGTCAAGTTGGAACTGACCCGTAGCTGACCCCTCCAGTGGATTTTCAGAGGCTATAAATCACATAGGAGGAGATTGCCCATTTTCCTCCTGTGGAGCAGCTGGTGGATTCGAACCTTTGGGATTGCAGCACAATTCCCTATCACTAAGCCACCAGATCTCCCTAGACAAAGGCAGTAAGTTTTCTGATCTCTCCTACAGAGGAAGAACAGCTTGCTAGGGACTGTTGGTTTCTGGGGCTTGTCACTTGGGATAATACAGTTTTGAGTGTATTCACAAGGAGACATATGGCCTCGGGAAAGTCTGCTGTCAGGTAATTCTCAAAATCACTGGGGAGCAACAATGTCAGTTTGAGGAAGAAGGTGCCCTTGGTTCAGGCCATGGTCTTTTAAATCACTTGCTATGCATCTGAGAGCTGGACAGGGAACAAGGATGACAGCAGAATTGATGTCTTTGGGTTGTGTTGGAGGAGAGTACTGAATATCCCATGGACTGCCGAAAGAACAAACAGCTGTGTCTTGGAGAAGGTGCGGCCAGAGTGCTCCTTGAAGCCAAAGATGACAAAGCTTCATCTTACATACATTGAACATTTTGTTGCTAGGAGAGGCCATTCCTTGGAAAGGGACGTCATACTTAGAAGGGTGGAAGGACAGCGAAACCATGTGAATTGACACAGTGACAGCAGTGGTGGGCTCTAATGTGCAAGCAAGTGTGAGGATGGCGTAGGATTAGGACAGGGTTCATAGTTCATCTACTGTTCATAGGGTTACTAGGACTTGTACTTGACCTCTTGCACTTCCCCAGTTTACATGGCTGTTGTTAACATCTGGTTCCTTGTCTGTTCCTGTGAAGCAGCTTACCCTCAAACCTTGTTGTTGTTGTTGTTAAGTATTGTCGAATTGTAGAGGACTCATAGCTACCCTATGAACAAAAAACCTGAACACTTGTATAACTTTTATCGTTTCTCCATGTTCATAGAGTTTCACAAACTATCTCATATATGTCTTGGCTGGGTGGCTCCAGCTTAAGGTCTCTCATGGGAGTAAGATCAAGCTCTCACTCAGCCCTGCAGTTCCTTAAAGGTTTGCCTGGTGCTGGAGGAGTGGCCCCCAAAGATGTCTTACTCACGTGACTGTTGATAGGAGGCCTCAGCTCCTCAGCCCTTGGATGTCTTGCGTGTCCTCTCATGGCAGCCTGCTTCCCCTTCAGTGAGTGGCTAAGAGAGAGCAAGAAGTCCTGAGGCTTTCTGCATTCTAATCCCAAAAGTCAAACATCAGTTTTCATACATCCTGTGCTTTAGGAGAGGGCGTTCTGGTGGCTTAGTGGCGAAGAGTTACACTGCTAACCCAAAGACACCAAGTTCAAATCCACCAGCTGCTCCATGGAAGAAAGGTAGACAGTCTCCTCCTGTGCTGTTTGCTGCCTCTGAAAACCCCCTGGAAGGTTAGCTCTGAGTCAGTTCCAACGTCACAATATTCTACAACAACCTACCTTAGGAGGGAGGCACTAAGAACAGTCAGCACACGTGGGGAGAGTAATAAACACAGACTTTGTCCTTGTGTTCCAAGTACCCAGAAGAAGAGATTCCTCCTCAAGAGTTTGTAGGAAGAGCAGAGACACCTCGTATTTTGTGGCGTCCCCGCCCTGCCCACCCAGTGCTTGTAGATCGCCAATCACACAGTCATTTTTCCAGCCTGTGGTTGGGAGGGAGAATGGAGCCACATTTCCTGCACAGCTCTTCATCTACGGGGCTTTTATCCCTTGGCCTCATTATTCATCCTGTGTGATGGACTGTGGAAGTGATTGTTAGGTGCCATCAAGTCCACTATGATTCACATGAATCCACAGTGATTCACGTGAGTGCCTTATGAACAGCTTCCCTGCACCTTGCCCTAGCCCATGCCATCAAGATGATGTCCACCATACTCAAGCCCATTGTTGCAGTCTCTGTGTCTGTCTACCTCATTGAGGGTCTTCCTCTCTTTCACTCACCCTCCACCTTTCCTAGCATGATGTCTTTTTCTAAGGACTGGCCCGTCCTGATTACATGCCTACAGTATGTGACATTAAGTTTCGCCTTCCTTGCCTCTAAGATTCTCATCACTGGGCTGATGGGCAGCATCATGATAGTGAAAAGATTGAGATGGTTAACGGCTTTAGGAACTGATCTGAGAAAACGCTCTCAGGAGCCCTGTTGTGTTTTGTCACATCAGAACCAACCCATGGCTGACCCTCCAGTGGGTTTTTGGAAGCAGTAAATCACACAGGAGGAGATTACACATCTTTCTCCGATGGAAAAATCACCTACCTTTGGGTTGCCAGCACAACTTCCTACCAGTCGGCCACCATGAATCCTAGAGGCATAGAATTTGAGTCCCTTTGGCTTTAGGACTTAGGATGCAGCAGATAAGGGGCTAGGTGTCCACGGAGGAGGCAGGCCGGTGTCACCCACTGGCTGACCCATCTCTCTTGTTCTCACTTGTCCAGGTGTGAGCATGAACATCCAGCCCATGTACCTGGGAGAGAGCGCGCCCAAGGAGTTCCGAGGCGCTGTTGCCATGAGCTCGTCGATTTTCACAGCCCTGGGAATCGTGATGGGACAGGTGGTCGGACTCAGGTAGCCAACCCCCTTATTCCACCTGAATGGGTGTGGGGTGCCAGTCCAGGTCCCTCTGTTTGCTTTCTCCCTATCCACCATGTAGCCTGAGTCCCCTGCCCACATCCATGTGATAACATACACAGCAGCTCTCAGTTAGCCAGACTCTGGAGCCTCACTTTCTGTGTCCTCACCAATTCAGAGGCCGTAGAATGTCTTCACAAAGGAGAGGGGGGTAATTGTTTCAAATCTCAGTGGGGGGAATGGAGAGGGGGTGTAATTAGAGCTTATGTAGGGAATGTAGCCTGACTAAATCAGAAAGATGGGCAGGTGGAGCCTGGACCCGGAGGAAGGAAAAGCAATAGTCACATGCCCTGGGGTCCCTTCTGAGGGGAACACCTTGGAATTCAGACCAGGAACTGCTTAGGAAGAGGCACAGGCAGTGCAGAACCCCTGCAGGTAGGTGAGGAGGTGGGCAAATGATCAAGTAGGCAGGTGGACAGGTGAACATTCATACAGACAGGCGGGTGGATAGGTGAGCATGCAGATAGAGGGACAAGTGAGCATGCAGATAGAGGGACAGGTGAGCATGCAGATGGGTAGACAGGTGGACAGCTGAGCATGTGAGCAAGTGGACAGGTGAGCTTATGGCTTAATAGGAAAAGTGGACATATGAGCATGCAGACAGGTGTGACAGGTGGACATATGAGCACGTGGGCAGGTCAGGTGGATAGGTGAGCTTGCCGGCAGATAGGCAGCTGGATAGGTGAATACCTGGGCAATTAGGCAGCTGGATAAGTGAACACATGGGCAGGTAGGCAGCTATATAGATAAGCACACGGGCAGGTGGACAGGTGAGGACCTGGGGAGTTATGCAGGCCTCTGGAAGGATATCTGGTCCCACCTCTTTTCCCTCCCCAGTGAGCTCCTGGGGAGCCCAGAGTCCTGGCCCCTGCTCCTGTCTAGCTGTCTGGTTCCTGGGGTGCTCCAGCTGGCCTCCCTGCCCCTGCTCCCCGAGAGTCCTCGCTACCTCCTCATCGACTGCGGGGACACTGACGCGTGCTTGGCAGGTGAGCCCCATCCTTGGGCCTGTGGACCACCAGAGTCTTGTCTGATATGGTATGTGAGTTCCTGCATCTTGGGTTTGATCCCTCCAGGGAGCACAGAGAAGTTCCCACACACAATGCGGGAAGAGATAAGCTGCAGTTTGATCAGCTCATTGGCGCTCCTTACAGAAATGAGGCCCTGGGACAATCCCACACCTCAGGCCATTGATGCTAAAATTTGTCTTCAAGAAAAATATAAAGTAAAGGGGATGGAGTTACAGTTCATGATGTTAGAACATGTTACAAAACTAGTCTGGGAACTGGCTCAGAGGAAATCATTCATGACGCATGGGCACAAGGGCAGCATACACATGTACCCACACCCCTCACACCTCAGATACTGACAAAGTAGGAAGCAGGCAGTGGTGCCACCTCAGAGGTGGGGGTTGGCCGAAGCTCTTTGAAAGCATGTCGCTCTCTACCATCTGGCCAGTGATCCATTGGTCTCTGTTCTCAGTCCTGGGACGACTGTCCTGGAGGCGGGGTAACTGGAGGAAGGTCACTCAGCCTAGCTTCTGTCCTCAGCCCTGCAGCGGCTGCGAGGTGATGGGGACGTGGCGACCGAATTAGCTGAGCTGGCCGAGGAGCGCGCCGCCTGCCAGGGTGGCCATGCAAGGCGCCCATGGGAGCTGTTCCAGGACCCAGCACTGCGTAGACAGGTGGTGACCCTCCTGGTGCTAGGCAGCGCCATGGAGCTCTGTGGGAATGACTCGGTGAGCATGAGGCCAGGGCACCGGGAGGTTGACCAGACCCTGTCTGCACTGTCGCACTGTCAGTGACCACTGGGATCAGGGCATCAGGAGGCCAAGTGGACCCAACCAACACTGTCAGTAACCACCAGGGCCAGGACACCGGGATGGAGTGGGCCCTGCCCCCACTGTCAGTGACCACTGGGGCCAGGGCATTGGGAAGTTGAGTGGAGCCTGCCCTGCACTATCAGTGTCCACTGGGACCAGGGTGCTGGGAGGCTGAGTGGTCCATGCCCGCCTGGTCAGTGACCACCCGGGCCAGGGCACCGGGAACCCTGGGAGGTGAAGGAGGAGGAAGGCCTGGGACCCTGAGCAGACCCTGGCTGCGTTGTCCAGGTGTATGCCTATGCGTCCTCAGTGTTCCAGGAGGCCGGTGTCCCTGCCGAGAAGGTTCAGTACGCCATCATCGGGACTGGGAGCTGCGAGCTGTTGACTGC